GGGGGGGGAGAGAGAGCTCCAAATGTATTAACCAGCTTAATACCTTGAAATCAAAAATCAACTAAAAGCAAGGGAATAGCATAAATTGTCAAGCTTCAAAACTTTCAGGAGCACAAATACACAAAAATCTGCAGTTGAGAGAGTTGTGGAGCATCTAAACTATTTACAGCAGCTTACAGCTTCCGCAGACAACTTTCATCTACAATTCACTGCATGAATCTTAATGACAAAATCATTAGGTATCAACAGGCAGCTGATGACATACCCAGGCCACCCAAGGACACATACCAGCAAACATGCAAATAGGACTAATACATGACTTGGCCAAAGCTACCAGTCAACACACATCCTCTGAACAATGACTGCCATAACCTCATGTATGCAAGAATCTTCAGTGTGTATAGAAAGTTATTGCCACTTAACAAGATCTGCGAGTCAGTGTTGCTAATCATAGATGTTATGTATTAAACACCCCAAGAAAAAGAAAAAAAGCACCTAACACAAATTATGACATGGTCACTCTCTCATCAGAGCTAGCAGAGGCCTCATTTCCAGCTGGAGAAGTTTCGCCACCTTGTACCTCATCTTCGCTGAACATGCTGTCCTCACGAGATTCAGAGGATGAGGCAATCTCCTCATCACTGGAAACCTCAGCCTTGTGCCGCCTCCTCACATCCTTTATGCCTCTTCCTTGAAGAGCCAGTCGCCTGCGCTTTCTCGCCTTCCTCTTGCCTTTGGGAAACTCTTCCTGATTTGATTCAAAAGTCCTGTTCCTCACATCTTTTGCAGCTCTATCCATGCAATCTTCATTATCCTCTGATTCAGTAAATTGGGAATCAACATCAAGCTTGCGTCTCTTCCTACTTGTACTGGTCTGATAAAGAAAAGTTAAACATTAAAAGGATATAAGTCAAATATGAATCCAAATGGTAAATTGAATATGCACATCATTCCTTAACAAGCATAATCAACATAATTCCTTTCAGCTGTAACCTAAGCTTCATGGATGGTTATTTGCACGGGCAGGGTTACAAGGAGATCGGCACGTCAAGACAACAAACTTCGACATCACTTTTTTTGGAAAGAAATCGAGGTGAAGCATAAATCAGCTGGAGCCTTCAAAACTAACTATTTTCCCAATATTTGATGTCCACGCCATCGATTATTCCCAATGACCTCACTCTAGGACAAGAGACTGCCTAACATTGAACTTCACCTCGCTCAACAATTAAATATTGCCATAGTAACATATTACTTTAAGAAATTTCATCAACTTAACCATTGATGCGACAAGTTTCTTTAATTGCAAGAGCTATCCAGATTTATTGCAGGAGTTTGGAAGGGTAAAAGGAAACATAGAGCAGTTGCCTATTTCCTTCACACAGTATGCTCAGGGAACCAGCCAAATCGCACTTTGGCTGCATACTAAGAGAAACCCTTTTTAATACTCCTAAATAATACTAGGAGAATTATTTCTTTTATAGTCAAAATAAAAACCATTCTTCTTCTTCCTCATTTGGGGTGCAATCACCACTTTGGCAAACAGGAAATGGTAGCTCCGGGATTCTATGAACAAAGAAATAAATGGTGAACAGAAGAATTTTCTTTTTATTCCATCGTTTTGAGGGGACAACACTTTTTTGATGCCATAGATATGGCAAGCCAGTGTTACCAACTTTTTGGACAAGCTTCTGAAAAGGTAAGAATGTGGAGATTCTCATAGATCCTCATTGTCAGAAAGATGTACCAGTTGAACCCACAGAGCTGGATACTGAATTTGTCTTGTATCTCCAATAACTCTCTCTTTCTCCAAGTCTTCCCTTCTTTCTTAGGAAGTGTGTAAAAAAGTACCTGGCAGATGACTTAAATGGGAACCTTAGCTGAGTCTTTCAGAATTGGAGAAGGCTGAAACATGTCATTTAGTTTAGAATGGAGGCTTTGTTTATTCACCGTTAGTCTTAAACATTAAGGGTATTTCTTGTTAGTTACAATATATTAAGGATGAATTTAAACTTCTAGGTAAACTTAAGGGATGTTTTAAGTTAAAAAATCAAGCCAAGTGATAAAATGTCACAGGAATTGTTAAAGCATACCTTGGGACCTCGATCAACCAGGCGAGACCATTCACTTCGGTTCCTTAAGCAATCAAGAACAGCCTGAGAGTGACTTGAATATGCGTAACGTTCTCCGTTGTGCTTCCTCAAGTTGGGCCAGTGCTACAGCAAAAGAAGGAAGATGAGAAGACAAATTAAATTTAACACCAGAAAGAGATTGTATCTTATCTCATTAAAGCAACTGTACCGGAAGGACTGCATTGCAAAGCTCTTCATAGGTCATTCTTTGACCTTTGCTCATAATCTCAGCAAGCAAGCCTAAAAATGCAGAAAAATATACAGCATTAATAAGGAAGAATTTCATAGTAACAGTCAGAAGATCCAGATTAGAAGGAATATTCTTTAAGAACATCCAGCATATATAACTCTCAAGAAGGCAAAACCTGGTAAAGTACGACGCGAAGGATGTCCAACCACTTTTGCGTCATCAGCAGCAGCTGCACTTGGTGAATAGTGCATTGAGGACAAGTTCTGCTTATTTGCCTCTTTTGAGGCACACAAACTACTACTTGCAGAAGTATTGGAGGCAAGTATGTTACTCTTCTTCAGAGACTGCACACTTTTTGCTGATCCACCATCTCCTTCTCTCTTAATAACAGAATCATCTTCTCTCCTACAATCAGGAGAAACTGATCTCTCGGATATCTTAGTTTCCTGAACCACCTCTTCCTGGGAACAGCTTGAACCATCTTTGCCTATATCCTTTGACTTTCTTTTAGATGTCTACAGCAAATATAAACACATATGTCAGAATAAATCCAAAAAAAGCAGATGATTGCCCATTACAGGAAAAATTCTAGCTTACCAAACCATGATCTTTTCCTCCACCACTAGATGTTCGCTTCATTAGCACACTTGTACCCGTTGGAGAGGTTAACTGAGGTAAGCTACCAGCATGACGCATCCGTGGCACTCGAGGAACTCTAGGAGAACTATTAAGTTCTTGATGAAGCAGTAGAGCAAGCTGCATATGGATGATGGACAAGTGTAAGCTAAGTGAGAAAACAGTAAGATTTAGAAATTCATTAATTCAACTTCTACCTCTTCATCACTTAGTGCCGCAGGAGATGACGAAGATGGAGGATGCATCAGATGTGTATTCACTTTAGAAGATGGTTGGGAACTGGGCTGGTTTATCTTTTCACCTTTCTGTGTCAAATGTGTACCTGTAGCTTTATTATGTACATGTGAGGCACTCTCACTTTGCAGTGAAGTAGAAGACTCTGCAGAGTGTGAACCAGCAGGGTTGCTACGCACAGCTGATGTTTTAGCAGACGAATTGAGGACTGAATCCTTTGCTTCTGACACTGTTCGCTTCACTGGAGCATGAGAGAGCTTGGTCGACTGCGAGGTCTTCGATGCCGAACCAACTGATGACTTTGGGAGCTCTTTCAATATTTTCTTTGGTCTTTCACGCCTCTCCTCATCCCTACCAGAATCCATTGACGAGCTTTCTCTTTTATTACTAAGATTAATCTCAGACATTCCTCTCGGTCGACCATTAGAATCGTGATTATGAGCTTTTGAGGATGTTCGATTCTCAGGAGCAGAAGACTTGGTTGTTCCAGTAGATGATTTTCCCATGGATAAAACTACTTTACGGTGATTAGAAGCTGGTAAAGGATTTGTGACTGGTAAGCAGGATCTAGGTGCATCTTCAGCAGGTTTTGAACTTTCCTTGTGTCCTGAACTCTTCCTTGGTCCAACCACAACTTCAGCAATCTTAGGTTCTTGATTAGATTGACAGAGAGCGCTGGGTGATTCATCAGTATTAGTTAGACTATTATCACCCATTGTTGCCTTTTTATCGTCTTCCTCTAATTTACAGTCACTATATTCTGAATTAATTACCGTGGTAATGTGTACTTCAGCTTTTTCAAACAAGCATCCTGAAGATATCCCTGCAGGTTTTGGCAAGGATTTTGTTATATCCAACTTACCGTTGCTTGAAAGTGAATGTTGAAATTCAAGGCCTGCAGGATCAGAATGGACTTCTGCTGTCAATTTAGCATCGAGTTCTGAAGAGCAAATGACCTTATCATCACTTGAACTTCCAATATTTGGGTGCCTTTTAATGTCTGGACCACGACATGTAACATTTTCTATCATGGGCTCCGCCATCTGTGATTCAGTCCCAAGACATACCGCAACCTCTTCCTTATTGTTGGTAGCATTAGTAGCAACCTAATTTCACAATCAATGTTATTACAGAAGAACTCCTTAACCAGAGAAGAAAAACCAAGAATAAATAACAAACATTAGCATGATGCAAAGCTCCTTTCTCTCCACAACTTTATAAAAGTTAGGGCTCAGTAAGACATTTTAGATCCAAAATCTCCATTAACCAGATCCACAACCAGGAGGGCATAGTCGATAAACTTGCATTTCTCAAGGAACTACATAGCCCTAAACTTGGCCAGCATAAAATGCTAATGACGCTGCATACTTGACATGCAGTGACAGTAAAACATGAAACTAATGCATATTCTACTTGGTAAAAGAGAAATCCGGCAACTGACAATAGCTTTAACAGAAACTTAGCCTGAAAGAACAGCCAACTGCGCTTCATATTTAATATGAATGAAAAAGAGCATCAAAATAATGTATATTGGTAGAAGAGAAAGTCGACTACTGACAATAACTTCTGCATAAACCTAAACCCATTCGACTGTTATAGCCCCTTTCTTAGATTGTAGAGGGAGCAAGGGAAAAAAAGAAACACACACCACCTTATCACCTCCCATTCCGTCCCAGATAAAAGCCAATAACTATCTATCATCTTCTATTTCTTTAATCAAAACCCAACCAGTTTCCCTACCAGCACGGTTGATCCAGCCCACTTCAGATCCACATGCTTCACCATAATGGCTAGATTAAAATTACTTTCAGTCACTTAACAAATGCTATAAGCTCCAGTTTTAACATGTTTCAACACGTGCATAAATATTCTCTCATGTTTTATTGGATTTAAATATGGTTAACCTTAAAAAAATAAGAATTATAACTGTAAGGGTCAACTTCGATATCATCACAAATTGGGGAAGGTGACGAGTTATGGCATTCTGTACTTCCCAAATTGCATAGTTACCCTCATAGCACTTCCTACTAAGTGCTAACTTTTCCAAGCAGAAAGGACTGATGAACAAAATAATGGTGGCGAGAAGAGATAGAACACCAGAGAAGGTTCACTGGCTTTGAAAGTGTCAGGAGTTTTAGACTTGTCAAGAAAGAGAATGTGTGAGGAATTTTAGTTCTTTTTGCAAAAAAAAAAACATAATAAGAAGACTTTATCTCCTCTTCATTTTAATAAGATCATTTGCAAATCTGATGAGGGCAAGTCCATTCTTTTTACCTCTATAACAAAGGGGAGGGAAAGAAACAATGTTTTCATGCCTTTTCTGTTTGTTTTGAAATTCAGAAATAAAAATGAAATAGCCTATCTTCGACCTGCCTACAAAGGTTTGTTCTCCGGACCTTAATACTTTTACAAACTTAAGTGCAAACAGGATTATAGCACATAAAAAGTACTCTACCACCTGAAAAAACGCAGTAGTGGACATAATTGGTCATAAACTTGGGCGATGTGTGCCAAGAGAAGTCACCACATAATCACAGGAAATTGTAGCATGAAAACCTGATGACATACCTCGTCTGTTGTAGGTAAACTAGCAGAATCACTACGCTCTAAAATTGTTGCTGCTCCATCATTCTCCATAGAAGAATCCTCTACCCTAGCAGGAACATGGTTTCTAATCTTGTCTTCCCGCGGATGTGCTTCACTTGTCGAGCAGCGTTTAGACACATCACAAGATACAATTTTTGAGAAGCACTCACTTGAAGCTGGAATGTCACGGTAGCTTTTTGTGCCGTGGTTCAGTATACGAGGTCCTTCCAAAATGCCAACAGCAGCCAGAACTTCCCCTGTATTTCCAAATTTTGTTCTCTGAATATCTGTCTTGACAGCCATGGGGCCTCTGTCTTTATAAAATTGCAATTTTCCTGAGTTAAGTCCATTATAACTTGAAAAATATAACAGTCATAGCAGTACTAGCAGCAATGCAGATAGTAGACGAAGCAGTAGTAGCAGCAGTAACACAAATCAACATTTGAAAGTCACGACAGTGTGTGTGTGTGTGTGTGTGTGTGTGTGTGTGTGTATATATATATATATATATATATATATTTTAAACTGGAAATCACGAAAGTATTAGACATGCAAGCAAAGCTATATACAAATAGATGGGTGTATATGAACTAGATACTAAAGTATCAAAGTTATTTTCTTTTCAGATAAGTAACAAAGTGGTAGTAGCTTAATCACCTGGTCTAGAAGCACGAGTATCTTTCTTAAGATATCCCTCCTTTTCAACGATCTTAGACTTCTTCTTACCACTTTGGTCCTTGGACATCCCAAACTCTCTTTTTTTACGTTTGCTGCCTTGTATCATGCTGGGGCCCAATAAACTTGTGCCCTTCTTCACATCATCTGAATCCATAGCACCGTTAGATTCGATAACCGGCTTCTCGGAAACAGGGTTAACTACTGGTGAAAACAAGCGGTTTTCTCTTGACAGTGAGAATAAAGCACCAGCACCATTACCAGTAGTCATCTCATTGCCTTTGTCGCTGGTGTTATCGTGAGTCTCCCTTTTTTCATTCTCCCAACAAGGAAACTCCCTATATTGAAAATTAAACTTTTTGGGAACATAACCACCACATTTCCACAATTCACGACCAAATACAGATGATAACCCAGAGAATAAAGCTGGATCACCACCCGGAACACCTTGCATGTGAACCCTTTCCTCCATTGGCAAATCAGTCCAAAGCCTAAAGGGCTTTCGGACAGGCACAGTATTAGGATATGGAGGATTCATCCTCAAAGTCTTGGTGGGCAACTCAACAAGCAGCTGAGCAACCTCAGTCTCTTCGCTATCATTCCTCCTAGCCTTATTCTTACATTTATCACACGCAAACAGCTTCTCACTCTTGACATAGCGCACGCAACGTGTATGTACCCACACACTGCACTCGTCGCAATTCACCATCTCCTCCCCATCATCAAAATTCACACCACACACACAATCCACTGTCCATGAACCATCCACCCAGTCATCCTGTGGGTTTGCAACAGGAAGCCGGTGAGACCGGCTCTTCATAGCTGCCTCTCCGCTAATTCCAACCTTAAAACTGCATTAAACAGAAAAACCTAAGATCCCCAAAAAGTAACCTCCTATAAAGCAAAATGCCTACTTATACCCACCTCAATTATCAATAACTAAATGCCAATTGAAATGTCCAATAACTAAATTATCAAACCCTTTACCACTGAAATATCAAATTAAGACCATCAAAGGGCCATATAAGAACCAAGCCTATAATTGCAATACCACCACCCCCCCCCCCCCCCAAAAAAAAAAGAACCTAAAATACCCAAAAGTAATCCTCCTTTAAGCTACTAATTACCACCTCAATTATCACAGCTCGATGCCAAATGAACAGCGAAAACTCAATTATTCAAACCCTTTCCCAGTGATACATAAAATTGAGACCGTAAATAAGGGGAAAAGAGAAGAAGTTACAGCTAGAGGATATGTACCGTGACGCTGGAGATGCTTTCCACGCAATCAATTGAAGCTTTGAGATATTATAAGGATGAATACGGGAAATTACAGGGATTCGAATTGAATATTTGCAGGGATTAGAGTGTCAGCAGAAAAAGCTGCATAGGGGTTTGGCAGCTGGCCTTCTGGTTACTCGAGCGGGCTCGGAATTCTGGGATTGTATCAAATTCTGGTTGAAAAAGTATATTGGCGTCCGTCAAGGCTCTACTGCTTTGTCTCGGCTCCACAATCCACATTACGACTTAACGGCGTCGGCCGTGGATTGGCCGTTACCCCAGAAAAAGTACGCGAGGACTTACGGGGTCAATTATCAATTATCAATTCTTTGGAGTCTTAATGGGGGGTTTTGGACAAGCATATTATTTGTAAATAATAAGTAATAGGAGTAATAAAATATTTGAAAATCAATACTTATTTTATAAATTTGTTATTATTTCAACCTTCGTTTAAAATAGAGAATCCAAATATGTTAACTGGTTTAATAATATTTCAAATGAAATAATAATTTTCACTCACTAAAACTTCAACACTTTAATTAATTGAAATTCATGTTTAAACATAGATTTAGATTTCCGTAATACTCTGTCAATCTCATCTTTAAGTACTCATTTTTGCTTTAGCTTTCTCTCCTACTAGTATTTGCAGCCGCGCGATGCGCGATTAATATTTTAAAAAATTAACATAATAAATTTTATATATCAAAGTAGCAAATATGTAAAATTATTAATATTGACTTTTAAAGCTCAACTATTTGTCTGCTTGTATTGTATTCAATATCCAGTTTCTTATATCAAAATTTTATTACTTAAATTAAAAATATATTAACTTTATAGAATTTTAATGCTATGAAAACACAAAATAAAAACATATATAATTTGTGATACAAATAATTTGAATTAATTAATGAAAATACATAATAATTAGTTGAAAATAGATTCAATGACGCCTCAAATGATATTGCAAAATCTATTTATACACTACATTTATAGGTTCATTTGTTATTTATCTATCATCTATTATACTAAAATCTTCAGCTCCATCTATTTGTCAATCGTTAAAGAGTAACATAATATTGTGCTTCTATTAATATTGATTTTTTCAAAACCAGTCCCACGTGAGATAATAATTGACCTCAATTGTATTATGATAAAAGCCTCTTTTCGGTTTAGCTTTGAATTTAATTTTTTTTTTTTT